TACAGTTCTCATTAGATTCCAAATAGAGAAAACTCTTGTTCAACAGGAGACAGATGCTTGTCTTGCATGCAGCTGCCCAGGTTTGACGTCCCCCACACATCTCTTGACCTGGCACCCTGAGCACTGCTGGGTGTGAACCAATACCTCCCTTTCCTCAAGAAACTTATTTCTCAAAAGTTAAGAAGAAATGATCAAAAGAAGGCCATCTTAGGAATCTTTTGAAAGTTTCTATTTAGCTTTTGGCCAATATATGAAATTATGGATAAAGGTGCTGAGCACAGGAGTCTCACCCACACACATGTGGCCATGGCTGAAGACTAGGAAAGCCGGGGCAGGATGACAGAAATTGCTGGGGTACAATTGGGAGACCCAGCGATGGGTACAGAGCTCAGGGATCTCATCCACATGCATGTGGCCATGCCCAGAGACTGAGGAAAGCCTTCATGGGATAGAGAGAGTGGCGCAGGGACAAGGCCAGGCCATCGTTCACGGGAGGCGAGTCTTTCATGGGACCAGGCAGCGTCAGTGCAGACAGAACTAGTGATGGTGTTCATGGATAAAGAAGAGTCCTGAACATCTGGAAAGGAACCAGGGCCCATCTACTTTATCTGTACAATAAACTAGCATTCAATCTTCTGAGTTTTGTCGCAATCTTGTATATAATTCTCAAGAACCCACCAATGCAGGAAAACCCACTTTTCCGCTAACTCTATCAAACTTCTAGCTGTCCGGCCCTGCTCCTTCTCCATTCAACAGGGCTGAGCCTCAACTCCAGAAGTTTCTCTGGAGCGTTCACTTCTGTCCTCTCTGATCATGTATCATGGCAGCCTCACTTTTGCCAGTGTTCGAAAGTCATTGGCGAAAGAATTTAGCTCTCTGCCTAGCAGTGGGCTGGAGCAATAGCACAGCGGTAGGGTGTTTGCCTTACGCGCAGCCAGCCTGGCTGAGCTGGGTTCGATTCCTCCGCCCCTCCCAGAGAGCCCTGCAAGCTACCAAGAGTATCTCGCCTGCACGCCAAAGCCTGGCAAACTACCCATGATGTATTCGATATGCCAAACACAGTAACAAGAAGTCTCAAAATGGAGACATTACTAGCGCGCTCGAGTCCTAGCAGTGGCCTGAGCAGACAGCTGAGCTCTGGGTATCACAGAGGAAGGCTGAAAGGCACCTGACAAGCTCACAGTCACCATTTCATGTGGCCTTGCTGACTGGCCATGGCCGGGTCATCTCCACGCTTTGACCTTTTGCAATAACTATGTCAAGCTGCTACTCTCTTCTCTCTCTCTGCACTCACCCCAGACACCCCATAAGGAATAGTAAGAAACCAGTAGGTGAGCAGATGCAGTGGCCCACATCAAAGCTGGCCAGTGCAATCTCTCCCAATCCTCCCTCCTGTTGTGCCACTCCAATCTGTGTCTTTCTACCCACAGACTGGTTTTATCCTCTCCCATCGTCACAGGGACTTTATTGACCCTTGTCCTCTTTTGAGTTTGTCATCTTCCTCTTCTCTAAAGGACCTTCCCCACCTGTACTTAAACACACCCAAGTTGTACCATCCCAAGGCAAAATAATAAAAATACAAGTTGACTGCTGAAATCACATTCCTATCCTGCTGTTTCTCTGAATCTTCAGTCAGATCCTTCAAAAACTGTCTACATGCATTTATTTCTTCATTTCTTCACCTCTTATGCCTCAGCCACTCCTACCCCTCCACCCCGGCCCTTCTATTTCTATCTTTTAGCACATGTGGTCAGATGGACCTTCCTGGAAATGGTGTATTAGGCCATGCACCATAAGGCCCTTGCCATTCCCTGCAACGACCTTTCTTACCATCCTCTTTTGGAAACTGAACCAGCCAGAAACTCTGCTCTAGTTACCTCTTTTGCCATTCAATCCTTACCCTTAAGAGCTCAAATGAATTGTGATCTCCTCTTAGGGTCCTGCTACCTGCACTCCCTTTGGCTATATCCCAGGTATAATTCTAGAACTGACAGAACCCGTCTTTCTCCAGCTTAACTGATCTCCAAGAGTGTTTTCTCTGCCATGTTTATCAATCCAGGGCCAAGTCCTGTGCTGTCCTTCCAGTGGGTGGTCAATTTGGGAAGGGGGTGGTGTGCACACCCAGCTGTGCCCAGGGATTATTCCTGGCAGTGCTGGGGGACCATATGTAGTGCTGGGGATTGAACCCATGGTGATTGTAAGGCAAGTGCCTTGTCTGCTATACTATCTCCTCCACTGCTCAACACATTTTTAAAGCAATTTAATAAAATATCTGTATTTATTAATGGTAGATCAGGCCCAAACTCAAGAGCAGGGATTACAGTTTAGCGCTGAGAAATCTCTTCAAAGACATCATGTACCTCTTACAGATACACTCCCTCAGCTGCATCAGCTAATGAGAGGATGGAAAAAATGCCCTTACTTTTTAAATTTCAGGACTGGGTTAGTTTTGGCAGCTGCGAAGGACACAGGCTTAATTTCCTTACTGGTTGCCAGCTGATATGTAGCAGTTTCTTTGCTAAAAACTCCTTGGCTGGCAATCTTTGAAAGTGTGTCTGTGGTTACTGGGAGTGCATTTAAAGGGAAGATACATAGGCATAGAAACAACAACCAATCTGATGGCACAGAAAAATATTTAAATGCTAGTCATGTCCCATCACAGCATTTAACATCAAAACAGTAGCCTAGAGATATATTTAAACCAAGGTGCAGGTACTCAGGGATACATTTTGACAGAAAATGAAAAACACAGGTTTTATTTACTTATTCATTCATATTTTCTATAAACTTATTTAAGAATTCTAATTTCTGAGATCAGAGAGATAGTGCAATGGGTAGGATGCTTGCTTTGCATGAGGTTGGCCAGAGTTTGATCACCAGCATCCCATATGCCCCCGAGCACTACCAGGAGTGATTCCTGAGCATCACTGGGCATGGCACAAAAGCAAGCAAAGAAATAAAGAATTCTAACTTCTATATCAAAATAGTTTTTTTTTGGGGGGGGCAGTGATAGTTCATGGGTGGAGTGTATATATTGTATGCAGAAAGCCAGGTTTGATCCCTGGCATTGCATGATCTCCTAAGCACCACTGGGAGCAACCCATCCATCGAACTGTGGGAGTAACATTGTTGAGTGTTTGCTAAGAAAACAAAAATCCTTTAGTAGGGCCAGGGATGTGGTGTAGGGGGAAGTACCTTTTTGGCACACAAGACCTAGGTTTAATCACCAGAAAACAATATCAACTTTTATTATTGAGCCAAAAGTGACCCCTAGAGTAGTCAAGACTGAGGGAAGAGTAGTCCCCAAATACCACACCGGGTGTGGGCTTCAAACAAATAACAAAAACTTTTTCTAAATTATATATATTAATATTAACTGAGAAAACAAAAAAGTCAATAAGCAGATAAAGTTAATCTCATCTCCTATAGCACCCCAACCTCTCACTCAGGACAGTTGGTAACAATCTGCATCCTCCCAGTTTTTTCTGTGACTGCAAAAATTGAACTTGTTTCTTGGGATTTAGGCGAATCATGTGATTAACATAAAAACAAAAGCAAAAAGGGCTGAAGGCAAATCAGAACCTTTCCAGATCTGACTCAGAATTCCAGTTTCTAAAGGACTGCACCCACGTGTTCTAGGCAGGAGCTGGTGATAGGCCCATGTGTGGAGTTTACAGGTATCTGAAATTCTTCTTTCAGCAATTCCTAACCTTTCTACCAGTTCTTAATCTGCAACCAGCTGAAAAATGCAAGATGATTGTGGGGTAGTGTGTCCTTAATTCCTCAGTCTGCTTATCTGGTGGGGGTTGAACTTTCTTGAGAGATAAGGACCATTACAGGGCGGACTTGCAGGAGCCTCAGGCCTTGACTGACAAGTTGGCTGAGCTTAGCCTTTGAAGCCTGGGCAATTTCTCTGTCCGAATGCACAAAGTTCTGACCAGTGACTGACCTTGGTGGCAGGTCCCCATCCAGCAGGGCATGAGGGTAGGGCAGGGTGTTTGTGCATTGGGGTTGCATTGGGGTTTGTGCCCTGCCCCTAGGGGCTTGAAACTCCTAGTATGCCTTGGGTTTTTCGGTTTTGGAAAGGCCTGCGGAACCTTGAGCAATTCCTCCCCACTGCAAGGAGGACAACTAAGAACCCTGTCCTAAGGATGTATTGGGTGACATTAGAAATTCGAAATCGGATGGCAGGGTCAAGTGGCACACCACTCTAGGTCTTAGAGTTTAGGAGTTACTTGGGGGGGCCAAGAAGTGACTGGGCTGCTATCAGTCGCCAAGCCCCACTTTGGTCTGGTTGTCGCCTTCTCACACTTTGATGGCTGGGGTGCTTTGACCCAAATGCTAGAAACGCAGCTGGCTGGAAATGTAGGCCTTGTCACCTCACTGGGCCACGTGCTTACTTTCCAAATCAGATTTACTGCAAGAGGGGCGACCTGCAGCCGGCTATGAGTTAGAGCAGAGTCAGAACTGTTTATTTAAAAATCGAGCTGCCGGCTTTTCCACGGGGGTCTACTTTCTGGGGTTGACTCGTGTGTGTGTGTCTGTCTGTCTACTTTCTGGCGTTGGCTCTGTGTGAGTGTGTCTACTTTTTGGCATTGGGTGTGTGTGTCTGTCGGTCTGTCTACTTTTTGGCGTTGGCTCTGTGTGTGTCTACTTTTTGGCGTTGGGTGTGTGTGTGTGTCTGTCTACTTTTAGGCGTTGGCTCTGTGTGTGTGTGTCTACTTTTTGTCGCTGGTGTGTGTATGTGTGTGTGTGTCCCAGGACTTTGCTTTCCAGAAGATGGTCAGAAGTCAGGAGGAGTTAGAGCGCGAGCCAGGCGGATGCCGGCGCCTACCGGGTAGAGAGGAGCGAGCCCGGCCTTCCCCAAACTTGGGGCGGGAAGCAGGGGGCGGGGCCTGGAGGTGACGCGAGGGGCGGGGCCTGTCCTGATTGGCCTGTCTCGCGGGGGCGGTACCGGGGCGGGGCCGGGCTGGGGCCCCTCAGGCGGTGACGGCGCCGGGAGCTGGAGCCGTGGGTGAAGCGCTGCGGCCGGGGTGGCAACAAGTGCCGGAGAAGAGCGAAGCTCGAGCCATTCTCCCCCGCGACACCCCCCCCTCCCCGGCCCGCCCGTCGCGGGCGCCACGCATGGAGCGTGAACGGCGGCGGTCGCCGGGCTGAGCCGCGCCGAGCGGCCGGGACGTGGATGCGGCCGCGCTCTCCCGCCCCCCGCCCCGCCGAGCTGGAGCTGCTCCCGGACAAGGTAAGGTCGGGGCGGTGTGCGCTCCCGCCGCCTCCGCGGGACCCGGGCTCTGCCTCCTGCCCCGCTAGCCGCGCGGCTGCTGCCGCTTCTTCCGAGTCTCTTCCTCGCGGGTTCCGGCTTGTTGTCGGCACCCCAGCTGAGGAAACCGTCCCTAGGTGCTTCCTCCCGCATTTAGGCGTTCCCGGAGGAGGAGGAGGACAACGTAACCGCTGGCAGGAGGTTTTTGTGAACCTCTTGCTTTTTTGCAACTCCCCCCAACCCTCCCCACCCCGGGTGCCCTCTCTGCCTCGCTGCACCCCAACTTCCGGGGGAGCTGCCGCGAGTGATGCAGACTTTGGGAAGGGGCGCCTGGCGCCCTCACCTGGGTTACGCGGGTACGGGGACTATGGGGGATCCGGGCGGGATTTGCGCTCGCACCTCCGCACTCTCCAGCCTCCCGCACTGCGCCGGTCGAGGGCGCCGCATGGGGAGATCAGGTGTTCCGAGGAGCAGCCGGCAGCCGCACCCCACCCCCACCGCCCTAGCGTGCCGCGGGCACCCCCGGGGTCCCCAGCACCGGTTTCTGCGAAACTTGGGGAGAACCTTTCGCTTGACCTTTAAAAAAATATATTCCGCGCTTTGGGCTTTGAATGATTAACCAGGCGACTTTCGGGAGACCTGCGGAGGGGGAAGGGTGGATTGCGGGGTGCGCTTTCAGTCCTCATCTCCGAAACTCCCAGCGGGAGGGTAGACTGTGTGTGTGTGTGTGTGTGTGTGTGTGTGTGTGTGTGTGTGTGTGAGAGAGAGAGAGAGAGAGAGAGAGAGAGAGAGCCGGCGCGGGAGGGGTGGGGGCAATGGGGCCTCACTTCGGGACGGACTTAGGCACCCCAGATGCCTGGCGAACCCTGGCTGAAGTCAAAAGAAGGGGCCGTAACTTTAATTTCCAGACCCGGGCAGCTTACACCGGAGGCCGGGTTGGAGGGAGGCGGGTACCCCCGAACGCACTTGTCTCCACATCTCGGGTGGTGAGAAGTAGCCAGGACTGTCCCCGCACGTGACGCTCCCCGCAGAGTGAAAGTTCATCTCGGGAAATAATCGACACGTTTATAACTCGGGTCCGTGAGGCTGCTCCCTCTCCTGCCTGAAGCTTGCGGGGGTGGGAGGTGGGGAGAATTCTCGGTCGTTTCTCCCACGCCCGCCAGGGACTCCCCAACTTTGTAGAACCGTGCTTGCAAACATTGAGCTCTCCCTGGTGGGTCTGAGCCCGGCTGTGGATTTCAGCTAATCAGGGTGGCCTTGTGCTCCCTAGAATAAATTCTGCCAGTGTGCCTCGGAAGGATGGGATGACTAAGGAGGCGGCCGGACGGGATAAGGAGGACTTGAACCGAGCCTAGGCCGAGGGCCCCTGTGACTTCTTGTGTCGTGAGCCGCTGGGACAGCCGACCCAGAGGGAGACCGAGGGTGCCGGGTCACTTCTTCCACTCCCCCACTTCCCGCTCTCGTTCCTTTTGCATGGATGTTATTAAGCCTAGTGGAATTTGGGCAAGTGTTAAGCACAGCCCCTGTGTTCTTAAACCAGATTAGATTTTAAAAGACGGGAGCCCCGAGCTACAATCTGGGAAAAATTTCCACCCTTCCCAGCCTTAACGAATACCTGTGTCTTTAGCTGCTCTAGCTTTTTTTTTTTTTAAGTGAAAATCTAAAACTGATCAGTTTAGAAGATTGCTTTTCCCCCTTGGGGAATCTCTCGGTAGATCGTTGCTCATCTCTCCCGTCTTTGTGCAGATTATGTGTAAAGTGAAAGGTTCTACTTCATGAAGTTCTGAGTTCCCCGACCTCACTGTTCACGGGTCTTTTTTTTTTCTTTTAATTTTTATTAGTGAAACACCATGAGGTACAGTTGTAGACTTACAATTTTTTTTTGACTTACAAATTTTTGTGCTTGGGTTTCAGTTATATAATGACTGAGTACCCATCCCTCCACCAGTGCTCATTCCCCACCTCCAATGCTCCCAGCATCCCCCCACCCCCCCATCACGGTCTTGATGCTGCTGCATTCTGTTCAGTAAGTTGTCATCCCAGCTTCATTTTCCATAGCTGGGCTTTGGGGGTGGAGTGCCTAGTTTGCTTTACTAGATTGTTTTTGAGGACAAATAGATAATGTTTGCCAGATTCCCAACTCTGCAGTATAGGATTTAGGAAGTGCTTGTTTAAGTGCGGGTCATTGTGTAATCCCATAGAAGTTCCTTCAGGCAGTAACTTCCTCTGACCGAAAACAGTAACCTTGTGGGAACTGTTTAGATTTACTTGAGACTGAAATCAGCCAAATTTGGCAGATGCAAATTAAGTTTTCAAATCCAAGGAATGAGGTCATCTTTTCTTGTAAAAATTATGAACTGAGTGTCAGAGAGTTAGTAGGTTCAGGGGTTAAGGTGCGTGCTTTATGCCTGCTGACCCTGGTTTGAGCCTGAGCACTACCTCATAGATTAGCTTCTTAGATGGCATGCAAGGTGTGCCCAGAGGTCTGTCCCTTTCATCAGGAATTGATTTTTTGACTTCCTGATGAAAAGATGAGCATATGGAAAGAAGACTTGTAGTTTTGAAGACTTTCTTGTTTAAAAGCAATTTACATTTAACTAATTTTAACCAAAGTTTGCTAGAAACAGGAGAGTGGAACAGACTTCATGATTGATTTTTTTTTTTTACTATGCTGTTTGAATGTGACTTTAAAAAAATGAAAGAGGGGCTAGTAAAAAAAAAAGAAAGAAAGAGGGGCTAGAGTGATAGCACACCAGGTAGGGCACTTGCCTTGCACGCATTCCATGTGGTCCTATATTGAGCACCGCCATGAGTAATTCCTGGGTGCAGAGCCAGGAGTAACCCCTGGACATTGCCAGGTGTGATTTCCCCCCATCCCCCCCAAAAGAGAATACAGAAAGCTTAATTTTAAAATTTTAATTTATTATTATTATTTTTATAAATGATTCATTGTTAGTATAAAAATTAAAGATGGAAGTGGCTTTTTTTTTTAATTTGTGCCGGGCTGAAAATTGAAACCCTTGTTTCTCAAAGAAATTTTCAAGATTTCATTTTACTGGGAAAAGGCAGCTCAAATAGAGAAGGGAACACCAAGTAAAGGGTGTTGGGAGGATCCATCCAGGATGGGAGATGCATGCTGAAAGTAGAATATAGACTGAACATGATTTCCACTCAGTACCTCTTTTGCAAACCATAACACCCAAAAGGAGAGCGAGAACAAAAGGGAATACCCTGCCACAGAGGCGGGGTGGGATTGCGGGGGATATAGAGGGGTTCTGGGAGGGATACTGGGATCATTGGTGGAGGAATGGGTACTCGATCATTGTATAACTGAAACCCAAGCACAAAAATTTGTAAGTCTACAACTGTACCTCATGGTGTTTCATTAATAAAAAAAAGACTTCATTTTACTATTTTCTAGTAATGACAGGGTTTATGCATAATAAAAAGAGTGGGACCAGAGTGATAGTACTGAGTGTAGGATCCTTGTCTTGCATGCCATGTGATCTACCTAGATCCCAGCCCCTGTGCTCAGTCAGGAGTAAGCTCTGAGCACCTCTTTGTGGCCCAGAAAAGAAAAAGGTGAGACCTTCTTAGCAACTTAGGAACTCAGATGCAGATAGGGGCTGTGCATATTCCTGAAGTGCACTCTGTCCCTAACATATTGGTGAGATGCTTTTTGTTCTTTTAATGTTCTTAATAGTATCAATATTTGACTCCACTTAGTTTTTTGTTTATTGACAGTTTTATTGGACAGTTTGTCAAGGACTAGAAATATTAATGCAAATGGTTAGTTTTAGAAACACTTGTATTCTTGCAGTTGGAATAATATTTGGTAATGTGTAGCAACATGTCAGTGGAAACAAGTCATTTCAGTATTTCTGTAGATGGCTTGGCATTTTGAACATTCTGGTATATACAGAATATTCAAAGTGAATTAAACTAGGCTCTGGTAATTTGAAAGGTACATTTCCTGACTGTAATAGCATCCAGTAAAGAAGGCAGCACCTCTGCCCAACCAGTGTGGGTCTCTGTCTACCTCCCCCCCGCACCCCCTCACTGCACTCCAGGTGGGGTAACTTAATAGGTTCTAGCTGAAGGTCCCTAAATTATTGGACGAATAAATTCCTCTCTCTGGAGAGGCAATTAATGTTTGAATAAGAAAGAGGTGTGTGTGTGTGTGTGTGTGTGAAGGACAAGTCTTTGAGAGAATTGATGTAATGGTTTCATCATCATCTGTAGTGATGGAGCTTTGCTAGGTCTGAACAAAGCTTAGGTGGGAAGAGCTTGTTGCTTGATGGGGAATTTGTTGTTAGCGCTTATGAAGCAATATGACTTCTGGAAAAAGTACTGAGATTTTTAGTTGTTATACCTGAGTTGAGATTTGTGTACTCACGCTTTTTGCTCCTAATGTCAGTTTTGTGCTCTTTGCCCACCAGCTTTGTCTTGTTAAGTTTTGTTACAAAATTCCACCCTCTTTTGAGTTTTGAGTATTGACATAGTTGTTAAAGTTATAACATGTTCTAAAATATTTTGTGCAATTTTAGCTTTTAAGTATTTTCCATAAATACCAGCGATGTGTCCAGTGGTACAGCAACTTACTTTGTGTAAGGGGTGGGGGGCATATTGGCTTTGCAAAAAAAAAAAAAAGCAGTCTTGTTTCCAATTACCTTTTGTGCTTCTGTAAACATTGCCTTAGAGCTTAGAGCTAGGTTTGAAATGGGTTTTATTCTGCTGTGGCTAAGGAGGGGAAATTCCCAGTTAGCCAGGAAATTGATACTTTCTTTTTTTTCATTCTGAGACTCTTAAAAAGATGTTTATTGTACAGGTATTATATCTCTGATGTAAATAAGATGTACTGTAGGGTTGATTACCATAGTGTTTGTAAAAGTGGATTTTTTAAAACAGTTCTTACAGAGCGAGGTTCTGTCAGAGTAAGCTGTTCAGTAATTCGGTGATTTAAGAACATGAACTTGGAGTTG